GTAAGCAAGTGAAAACCTTGTCTTCAAATGCATTTCTTCCCCTCCCAAGGAAAAAAAGAATATTGTCTAGATTTTTTTTTCAGTGCTGTCCAAGATTCCTCAATGTTCCAAATGGAAATATAGGGGAGACCTTGAAAATATATAGGATTGCCGCTCTTAGCCAGTGCTGCTTAAAATATTTCTGTGTTGAGGCTTTCTCATACCATAAGAATGTGTTCCATCCTAAAGCTAAATCATGGCCTTCGAGTTTCAATAGCCTTCTGTCTTCCAAAGTAATCAGTTCCTTTAACCAGGTTAATGCTGCGGCCCTGTAATATAATAGCCAATTTGGAGGAGATTTTGAGAAGTAAAATACCATTTTTGCCGGAAATATTACTACTAAACATATTTCCAAAAGATTTTGATAAAGATGATAGATATTTGATAGTACATCTATCTATGGCAGCAAGAATACTATATGCAAAATATTGGAAAGAAATGGAAGCACCAAAGAAGCAAGAATATGTGAGTAAACTGCTGGAGACGGCTGAAAATGACAAACTGCCATTATTGATGAGAGTCCAACAGACCTAACATTAAAAGACGTGGAAAAAACTGTATGACTGGTATAATATAAATGCATAGTTCAAAGTAATGAAGTTTTTGGTATTATTAATCTCGTTTAGTTAAATAGAAACTATGGTAAAAAGATAAGAGTATACAGAAACTTAAGCAAAACCATAGAAAGTGACTTAAGAAAATTTCAAAGTATGGTAATAGAGTTATAAGAAAATATACTGACCTCCATATGTTTCTTTGTATGTCTTATGTATGTAAGTGGTTGTTTGTTGATATGTTGTATGTATGTATGTGTATAATATGAAAAATAATAAAAGTGGACCCATGGGTACTTTAAAAAAAGAAAAAGAAAATATCTAGGATTGCCAGCATCCAGGAGGGACCTGGGGATCCCCTGGAATTAGAGCTCATCTCCAAACTCCAGAGATCAGTTCCCCTGGAGAAAGCAGCTGCTTTGGAGGGTGGCCTCTATGGCATTGTACACCACCGAGGTGGTCCCTGTCTTCCTCAGGATCCGTCCCCAAATCTCCAGTAGTTTCTCAGCCTGAATCTGACAACCCTACCCCCTCATCCCCCCCCCCAATGGCCAACATGAACCTGGCAACCCTAAATCCACTTCCCAACATCGCTCCCCAGCGGTTCACATCTCTAGTATCTCCCAGTGCTTTGCCTTATGTGCTTCCTAAGCTGCTCTCCATCCCACTCACAGTTCCACAGTTGGTGGTTCATGGGTAGATCATCTGCTCTGTATACAGAGGGCTCTAGGTTCAGATCTAGGTTTGCCAGCCCCCAGGATTACAACTGACTTCCAGATGAGATCAGTTTCCCTGGAGAAAATGGCTGCTTTGGTGAATAGACTCTATGGCATTATACCTGGCTGAGTACCCTTCTGAGGCTCCGCCCCCCAAATCTCCAGAGATTTTCCAGCCTGGAGTGGGCAGCCCTAAAATCCCAGGATCTAAAGTGTAAAGGATTAGGTAGCAAACAATGTGTAAGACCTTCGCCTGAGACCCTGGAGAGCCACTTATGGCCAGTCAGAGGAGACAAGATGGCCCTTGATAGACGAGGAGGTGGCTTCATGTGCTCACTTGGTAAATCCTTCTAGTGGGCTGGACCACAGGTGGATGCTGCTATATAAATGCTTTGTCTTTGTGCAGGTTACTCTTTAGTCACACAGAACTGCAACCTCAATCTGTTGGACAGCTTTGCCTTGATGCTTCGTCTCTGTTCCAGATTGCTGGATTCATTCTCTCTGGAGCTGTATAGGTACTGCTTCAGGGACATAGCAGCTCAAAATGTGACAGGAGAAATGGACTTTTTTTTTTAAGAAGAGTTGGCTTTTATACCCCACTTTCCTCTACCCTATGGGGTCTCACAAAGCAGCTTACAATCACCTTCCTTTCCTCTCCCCCTAACAAGCACCTTATGAGGCAGGTGGGACTGAGAGAGTTCTGAGAGAAACTACGACTGGCCCCTGGTCACCCTAGGCTTTATGTTGACGAGTGGGGAATCTCATAAGAACATAAGAGAAGCCATGTTGGATCAGGCCAATGGCCCATCCAGTCCAACACTCTGTGTCCCACAGTGACCAAACCTCAGGTGCCATCAGGAGGTCCATCAGCAGGGCCACACTCCAGAAGCCCTCCCACTGTTACCCCCCAAGCACCATGAATATAGAGCATTACTGCCCTAGACAGAGTGTTCCATCTATATCTTGTGGCCAGTAGCCACTGATGGACCTCTGCTCCATATGTTTCTCCAGTCCCCTAAGCTGTCTATGCTTGTAGCCACCACCACTTCCTGCAGCAGTTAATTCTCCGGATTAGCGTCTGCCACTCTTAACCACTACACCATGCTGGCTCTTACTTTTTACAACCTGCTTGACCTGATTGATCAGAAATAATAACTCCCTCCTTTGCATACTAAATTTGAAATGCAAAATAGGTCCTCATATAAATGCACATCATATATCTAATTCTGATCTTGGCCTTAGTGCTAATCAAAAATGCACACCATGGGGTCAGGTACAGAGAGAGGAGGTGTTTCTACAAGCACTGGGTAATGCCCAGTTTTTCACAGATGTGTAACTTTTGTGGTCTTATTGGCAATATTAAGCCTTTCATGGCTTTGTTGGCGATAACCAGAACCTTGAATTGAACTCGGTAAACTGATCGATAGCCAATGCAGTGTTTGCAGAATGGGTGTGACGTGCATGTTCCACTTGATGCCTGACAGGAACAAACTGCAATATTTGAGTTTTCTTTAAGGGCAGACACATACAGAGTGCATTACAGTAGTCTACCCACCAAATTACCTAGAAAACATTCCTTACAATGCGGAAACTGCCAAACTTCCTATTATTATATTGGCAATGGTACCTGTAACGATTCCTTGTTTTATTTGTGTGTGTGTGTCTTTAAAAGTTTGGTTGCATGGCGGTGAGAGATAGTCTAGGGTGGTTGAAACAGGCAAGTGGTGTGATTGGTGATTGGCAGAAAGGGGGAGGGGTTTTGGAAGTAAAAATTAGTGGATGAACGGGTATGTCAGTCAAGAGTGACAGTTGAAGAGTGACAGTTGATAAAGACAGTTGTTAAGTTAAGGAGTTAGTTAAGTTCTGTGTATGAGAGGAGGGAGACACATCCCTGTGTGGGATAAGTTAGTTCTGAAGTCTGAGAGAGAGACAGTATGGTGTATGATACAAGAGTTAAGTTTTGTGTATGAAGAAAAGTTGAAAGTATAAGGAAACAAGAAAGTAAAGTTAAAGAGAAAAATAAAAAGTCTGAGTGACAGGATAAAAAGAAACAGTAAACATATATGGCCTAAGGAAAAAAGTGTTACAAAGTTACATGCCAAAATCCCTGTCAGTAAGAGAGCATATTGTGTGTGATACACCAAGAAATGGTTCATTGATTACATATTATTAGATATCTTGTTCTACCCTGTTATTTATGGATTATTTCAATACATCTTTTATTTAAGTCTGCCAGCTCTGAAAGACATACTTCCTCATGAAACACATAGACCCTCATGAAAGCCTAAAACCTCGACCTACCTACCCGGTGATAGAAATATTATAGGATAAAGGTTTGGAAAGCCTTAAATTTCCTGGTGGCAGCCGGATATACACATTAGAACAAAACATAAAGAACATTTTAAAGGGAAACCAGACCTCCCCAGATAAGGGGTCGTCACAGTACCAATTCAATGTTATTAATTTTAGCAGACAATGTATCTTTATATATTTGTCTCATTCACCTGACCTCCCTCTTCTCGTTTCCCTTCCTGCCCCACCCTCACTGCTGAGCATGGCTGTGGAGGCCACCTTTGCCTCACATTATCTTCTAAATGTGAGACTTATACACTGCCTCCTAAAAAAATGATCAAAAGTGTGGCTTTGGTATTCCCACATCAACCAAAACAGTTAATATTTGACACAACCAGTCCAAGACCTACCAAGTAGAAGCAGAGTCCTGATTTCCATACTTAGCAATCCATTAAACATTTCTTGCAAGAAGGGTATCACCCCAGGGGCATACTATTTATTCTTCATGGCAATCCTGTGAGGTATGTTAGGCTCAGAAAATGACTGGCCAAGTGTGGATTTGAACCCAGATGTGGTAGAAAGTGCCCAGCCCAAGCAATAGGATTTCTTTTGACACTTTTACAGACTGTATTTAAAAACACATAACATACTTTTTAAACTAACATTTTAAACATTTCCTGATCACCAGTCTGTACAAAAAAACCCACAAAACACAGAAAGGGGTATTTGACTTCTTTCGGATGCTGTTTACAAGAATCAAAGGGGACTGATTTTTCAAAACATTCACTTGCATACTCTAAGGATACCCACCCAGTTCTAGGATGCTGGATACTGTTTGGGGCTTTTCCTTTGAATCTGAATTAATCCCAACGGCGAGACCCTAAGAAGCTCACAGCAGCCTGAGCCCTCAACACCTGGGCAAAGAGGAGCCTCCTCAGAACCAACTATAGGAACGTTTCATCCTTGTGTGGATTCACTGAGGAACATGAAGACATGATCTCTGCCTCAGGCGCTTACCACACACTGAGCATTTCTGTCATTAGTCCCTGTGTGGATTCCTCAGTGCTTAATAAGGACAGAGCTGGTCTTGATCTTGAATCACCCTGCACTCTTAGAGCGCATCTTTGCTTTCTTCCCTTTGAGATATATTTGAGGCTTTAATCATGGCTGAAGCTCTTTCCACAATCCAAGCATTTATACTGTTTCTCCCTCATTGGAATCTTATTCGTTTGTTTCTACAGTTATGGTAAGGTTTCCGTGCAGATGCAAGCCCTTTCCAAGTGTTTATGGTTTCACCTGTGTTGACTCTATTGTTGCTTTTAATGTATGAAATCTGAGATGAGCTCTGGCCACAGGCTTATCAGTTGTGCAGTTTCTCCTCATGTGGGTTCTTTGATGCTGTTGAAGGCAGAATCTATGAGTAAAACTCTTCGGACACTCTGAGCATTCAAAAGGTTTCTCACCTGTGTGGATTCTTTGATGCTGTAGAAGATGGCCACTCTGACTGAATTTCTTTCCACATTCTGAGCATTCAAAAGGTTTCTCCCCTGTGTGGATTCTTTGATGTCGTTGAAGATGGAAACGCCATATAAAGCTCTTTCCACACACAGAGCATTCAAAAGGTTTCTCACCTGTGTGGGTTCTTTCATGTCGTTGAAGATAGCAACTCTTGTTGAATTTCTTTCCACACTGTGGACATTGAAAAGGTTTTTCACCAGTGTGGATTGTTAGATGCTCTTGAAGATGGAAACTCTGACTGAATTTCTTTCCACAATCTGAGCATTCAAATGGTTTTTCTCCTGTATGGATTCTTTGATGCCGCTGAAGATGGAAACTCTGACTGAATTTCTTTCCGCATTCTAAACATGCAAAATGTTTCTCCTCTGTGGGCTCTTTGATGCTGTTGAAAATGGAAACTCTGACTGGATTTCTTTCCATGCCTGGAGCATTCAAAGGTTTCTCCCCTGTGTGGGTTCTTTGATGCCGCTGAAGATTGCAACTCTGCTTGAATTTCTTTCCACACTCTGAGCATTCAAAAGGTTTCTTCCCTGTGTGGGTTCTTTGATGCCTCTGAAGACTGCCACCCCAGTTGAATCTCTTTCCACACTCTGAACATTCAAAAGGTTTCTCACCTGTATGGATTCTTTGATGCCGTTGAAGAGCAAAACTCTGAATGAATCTCTTTCCACACTCCGAGCATTCAAAAAGTTTTTCACCTGTATGGATTCTTTGATGTCGTTGAAGAGCAAAACTCCAGTTAAAGCTTTTTCCACACTCTGAACATTCAAAAGGTTTCTCCCCTGTGTGGGTTCTTTGATGCCGTTGAAGATGGCAACTCTGGATGAATCTCTTTCTGCACACTGAGCATTCAAAAGGTTTCTCCCCGGTGTGGGTTCTTTGATGCCGTTGAAGATTGCAACCCTGGATGAATCTCTTTCCACACTCTGAGCATTCAAAATGTTTCTCCCCTGTGTGAGTTCTTAGATGCTGTTGAAGATTGAAACTCCTACTGAATTTCTTTCCACAATCTGAGCATTCGAAAGGTTTCTCCCCAGTGTGGATTCTTTCATGCCACTGAAGATCATAACTATGCATGAATTTCTTTCTACACTGTGAGCATTCAAAAGGTTTCTCACATATGTGGATTCTTTGATGTCGTTGAAGATTGACACTCCACTTGAAACTCTTTCCACATTTTGAGCATTCAAAAGGTTTCTCCCCTGTGTGGATTCTTTGATGCCGTTGAAGATTGACACTCCAGTTAAATTTCTTTCCACATTCTGAGCATTCAAAAGGTTTCTCCCCTGTGTGGGTTCTTTGATGCTGTAGAAGATGGCAACTCTGATTGAATTTCTTTCCACAGTCTGAGCATTCAAAAGGTTTCTCACCTGTGTGGGTTCTTAGATGCTGTTGAAGATTGCCACTCTGACTGAATTTTTTTCCGCACTCTGAGCATTCAAATGGTTTCTCCCCTGTGTGGGTTCTTTGGTGCACAAGGAGCTGAGACTTGGATCTGAAGTACTTTCCACACTGAAAGCATTTATATGCCTTCATTCTGTTATGCTTTGGAAAATGTACATTACCTTTTCTTTCATCAGAGAAACTCTTTACATTCCCTGAGGAAGTAAATGGTTCCTCTTTTGAATGAATCCTTTGGTGGTGAATAAGGTTTGCTTTATGTGAGAAGCTCCTGCTACAGAATAAGCAGCTATACCGTTCCCCTGTTGTGTGGATTCTTTGATGCCTAAGAAGCTCTGATCTGCAACTGAAGCTCTTTCCACACTGCAAACATTTAGGGATATTCTTTCCATTGTGCTTTTGCAAATGGATATTATATTGGGTTTGATCTGAGAAGTCCAATGCACACTCCAAGCATTTGTACATTTCCTCTGCCATGTGAATTACTTCATGGACATCCTGTCCTTGGCAAGGAGTGGCTTGATCCCTCCTCTGAACCAGGTGGATTCCTCTCTGCCTCTTGGGTCCACCTCGATTCCTGAAGTTTCCTTTCAGCTCTGCACACTCGGCTTTGCCCAATGATAACTCATGCCGTTTCTCATCTTCCTGATTCTCCTGATCACCCCCTGTGGGAATAAAGAGAGACCCAGTTAGCACCCACGCAAGGAGGTCTGACCTGCTCTTGAAGTTCTTTCCACATAGAGCATATTTCAGTGGTCCCTTCCTGAGATAGATTGCAGTGTCCATTAACTGGCACTTCAAATGTACATTAAAGCTGAATCACAGACTTTACACAGCTCCTCACCTGAGTGAATTCTTTGATGGAAAACAAGGGCTGTTCGGCAACTGAAGTTCTTTCCACACTCGGAGCAGTTATATAGTTTCTCTCCTGACAGAATTTGTTCCTGGGGAACAATGTTCATTTTCTGAATAAAGATTTTTCCAAAAGCCACCTTTTCATTTTCTTTTTCCCTGCACTGGATTCTCTGGTTAGAACAGAGGCCTTCATTCCTTCTGTTTTCAGTTAGACTTTCTTCTTGGACTGGGATTTCATGGAAGCCTCTTCCTTGGAAAGGAATAGGTTCATCCCTCTTCTCATCTGTGTCAGCTCCCTCCTTCCTCCTGATTCCATCTGGATCCCTAAAGTCCCCTTCAGGGTCTTCCTCCTTAGTGTTTTCCAATGTTGACCCCTGTACTTCCCCAGCCATTTTGCCTAAGCTTCCTGCTGGAATAAAGAGAAAGATCCAGTCAGCAGCCATGCAAGAAACCAAGTCAGATCGTTCACTCCTGTTTCCTGGGGGGCTTTTTGATTCTTCCCTCACAGCCTCACTCAACCCCATATTAAGGAGCTCAACAAACCTTCTGCCTGGCCTGGCCCTTCGATGGAGCCAGTTCTCTCTTCGGTCTTCCCCTTCCCTCCCCCAAAATCCCCGTAAATATTTTAAGGACAAATGAGGCTAAAGATTTGTTCCCCAACACTTCATACTTGACTTGGTGGATACATGAATACACATGAACATCTATGAATCTGCCTTCTATGGAATCAGACCGTTGGCCCATCAAGGTCAGTATTTTCTATTCAGAACAGCAAGAAGATAAAAGGGTTGCACCAGTAGAAGATAAAAAATAAGGCCAAGACCAATGGTGCAAAATCAGGTTAAAGTATATTTTAGTACTCAGTTAAAACTTCCCAAAAAAATACACGTTCCACCAATAGACTTTGTCAGGGGAATCTGTAATATAGACAATTATACCATTGGGTTTACATAAATAAGGGTATAGTTAAACCTGTAAAAATGAAACATTGCTACTAAAAAAGAAGCGGGTGGGATTATTAGACTCCAGGCACTGACACCTAAAGGGTTAAACTTGTCCTTGGAATTACATCAGCTTTTGTAAAAAGAAAAAATAGAGCCATTGCATCAACTAGGCACCAGAATATAGTAAAGTCCTTCCACTGACAATTTGCTACTCATCTTGTACTCCTTTTGAAGAATTACTACAAGACAAACAGGTTTGTAACTTTCATTTAGACACAGGGAAAGACTCTTAATTTGGAGCCAAAACCTGTTGAGAGCTGGGCAGTTTTGTGTTATTTCTCTTAGTTACAGGGAGTTTCTTTTCCTCATGCAATCTCAAGGACAGAATAAGCTCTAGTGGTTTCATTCATTTATTTATTTTGTATGTGATTGACAGTTTACAACCTGGATTTTGACCTTAATATGTTATCTTATATATTTATATTATATAAATATATCTATATATCTAATAGTGAAAGGTGCCCCCTGCGTGCGGATACCTAAATCCGCACATCGGGGACACCTGGGGGGGGGATTTTTGTAGCTGATTTTGTATCACCGGCCTAGGCCTTATTTTTTTATATCCTATTGAGACTGGCAGTGGCTCTCCAGGGTCTCAGGCAGAGGTCTTTCACATTACCTATTTCCTGGTCCGTTTAACTGGAGATGTCAAGGATTGAACCTGGGACTGAGAGCCGGCTTAGTAGAGTGGTTAAGAGCGGTGGACTCTAATCTGGAGAC